TGTTTTGCTCATCAACTCCAACTTGCACTTGTGGTTGTGGCAAAGAAGAACATCCATATTACTAACTTCTTTGGTGTGGTTGGGAATGTAATAAATACTGTTGGAGCATCTTCCAAACGATGTGATTTTCTTCGAGAAAAACAATTAGACTTTATTGTTGAGGCATTGGAGAAAGGTGAGATTTTAAGTGGACGGGGACTTAATCAAGAAACGACCCTTCAGCTCTCTAGTGATACACGATAGAGTTCACATTATAATTCTTTGTTCAGCTTGCTTGTCATGTTTTCTTCTGTTTTAGATGTACTTGCAATGATTATTGAAGATGAATCTTGTTCTCGTGACCAAAGATCTGATGCAACAAATTTATTGGAGTTGATACAAAGATTTGATTTTGCATTTAATCTACAGTTGATGAGAAGTGTGTTGAGGTTTTCAAATGAACTGTCAAAGGCATTGCAAAGAAAAGATCAAGATATTGTGAATGCAATGCAATTGGTGAGATTGTGCAAACGACGACTCCAAATAATGAGAGACGAATGATGGGACTCCTTTTTGGAAAAAGTATGTTCTTTTTGTCAACAACATTATATTCATATACCCAACATGGATGATATGTTTGTACGCCTTGCAATTCGTGGTCGCCCTCAGCGTAATTCTCCAAAAATTACAAATTTACATCATTATCGAGTAGATTTGTTCTACCCTATCATCGATTTACAACTTCAAGAATTGAATGATCGTTTCTCGGAGGTAAATACAGAGTTACTCCTTTGTGTAGCTTGTTTATACCCACAAGATTCATTTTCTTCTTTTGACAAGAAAAACTTGATTAGACTTGCTGAGCTTTATTCATTAGATTTCTCTGCAGTAGATGATATTGTACTTAGCGATCAACTTGAGACTTATATTTTTGACATGCGCTCTAACAAAGAGTTTGAAGGGTTGAATGGCCTTGGTGATCTTGCGGAGAAGTTAGTTTTGAGAACAAGTTTAATATATAAATTATGTCGTTTTTAGTGATGTTATAATATTGTTTTATTTTTTTATCATCATTAAATCTATGACCAAAACCTCGAAATTCGGCGTCGAAAAATGATGCCAGCACTGAACATAAATCCTGGTTCTGCCCCTGTATGTATGTATTTATTCCAAGTAGGCCACTTAATTGTAGCCCAATTCAACCTCCATCACTTATTCAATTTGATGACAACTAAAAGTACACTTTAAGCCCAATTAGTTTAATTTATCTTTCAAGGCTTACTCCATTATAATTAATGCAACTTAGTCCTTTTCTTCATCTTTTCCTCACTTTCGATCCACAACTTCTATTTAATAGTCAATTAATCCTTTTCATTCCCAATTGCTTCAAAACGGGTCCAACACCGAAACAAACAAAAATTAACTCAAATTAAATAAAATTCAATAATTTGAGACATAAAAGTTTAATAATATGATCTAATAAGTATACAAATTACACTTATCAAGTATAAACCATGTTTTTAATTAAAATTAATATTACTCAACTCATCTCTCAATCTCACATTCTCTCTACCCCTAATTGAATCCAACTGCATCTCTTATCTAGACACTTCGGTGCTGCGAGCAAAGGCTACATCGACGTCACATAGACTAGGTCAGCACTGTGCTGCTAGTGTTCGGCCTTCAGATCGTTGTTATGACCGATGAACTAAATGTCGAATCGCTACTGCGAGCTCTGTAGGAGCGAGAGGATCTTTGGCACTCAAATCACATCTTCTCCGGCCACACTCTATTTTCCACCGCTCAACTTTGGACAAATTAAATTTTTTCGATGCTTGTGGAGTTTGAGAGATTTGCCCACTTGATGCTACAATAACACGAGATGTTGAAGGGGATGAAGGCGTTGAACTAGTAGCGGTCTTTGGTTCTCTATCTTTTCCAAGAAATGATTTGAGAAAGTTGATAGAGGTTTGTGGTTGCCAATGGTTCTATATTAGTTGACATTACGGTAGTGGTACTGTGGTGCAGTAATTGATGATTTGGTGATGGTATGGTGGTTCTGTGGTGCAATGGTGGTGTGATGTGCGTTATTGGTGATCGTGTGTTATTTTTGCAATTGCAGTGATGGTGGTGCCACCGTAGGGTTTGTGATTTTTTTGTTGGTTGTGGTTGTGGTCACAGATCATGTTTGCAATTCACAAGTAACAATCTACACTTCGTATGATAAGTCACAGTTCACATTACTAGATCATAGGTTTGTTCCATAGTTCACAGATAAATGTAAATGGGTCATAAATCAGACAAAATTGGTCACAAGTCACACTTCATTGATCATATGTCATAGTCTATAGGTCGCAGATCAAATAGAATTGGTCACATATCACTAATTTATATTCACATGTCACAAGTTATAGTTCCCAGATCGCATGTTGCAGTTCAGGTCACAGATCATCATTCACAAGTCAAATGGCATATTGTATAGGTTACATATTAATGTTAGCGAGTCATAGGTCATTTTGCATAGGAAATAGCTCAATTTCTACAAGTCACGAATATAAGAGAATTGGTCACATGTTATTGGATCAATATCACAAGTAACTTATCAATGTCCATAGGGCTACAAGTCACGTGTAACAGGTCATATGTCAAAATGAATTGGTTACAAATTCAATGATTTGAATTGGTTACAAATTAAAGAGATTTGATCATATGCCATTGATTTATCAGACCTCAGTTCTCCGAATTGGTTACAAATTCAAGTAACTAGATTTTGATGGTGAGCATTGAAATTATTTGCGCCAGTGAGTACTCTTTAACTTTCACATGGGTTTGTTTTATATTCAATTTTGAAAAATAGTCTTAAATTATACTAAGCACTGTTGAGTCACCGTCGAAGAAGATGATCAGTTGCCCGCAATGCTCAGTCAATACTTTTCAATAGCCTCTATGTTTCTCCCTCTATCTCTACCATCTGAGCCAATCATGCTCATTAATAGCTGAGTGAGAAATTGTCGATCAGGTAGATGTCGATAAATAGATGCCGACTTTTGTGTGGTAGATTAATTTAATTTTATAATATTATTATTTAAAATTAAAATGGAATTAACACCTGACTATTGCATTTTTAAATTTAAACTTACTGTCTAGAATTTGATTTAATGCTTACTTAATACTTGACTTATGATTTTTTTCCCCAAAAAAGAAGCCGAAGCAAATGCTAGACGGGCCCTTAAATGCCAAACATAATGATGTATGTTAGTTCAGATTTGATAGGCCGGTTAAGCCTTAAGGATAATGATACTATACATGAGATATTCAATCCGAAAATCAATATATAGCAGAGGAATGAAAGAGTTAATTCTTAAAACCCCATAATTCCTTGTTTCTGCAAGTTTAGTTCAATTTCTGCAAATTGGATACAAGATTTGATGCTGCAATAGCAGCAGATCCACCAACTACAGAGAGCAAAGCAACTACAACCTGCAATGCAATCTCCCAAGGGTAGTCTTCTGGCACCAAGTAGACGAAAGCAGGACCCAAGATAAGAAAAACCAAGCTCAGATTCAGAAGGGTTGATGGGGTTCCCGGGTCAGTAGCAGCTGAAAAGACACCAAATTCCTCTGCTTTAGAAAGGAGGCCAAGTTTCTCGATTGTCGACAAGGAGAACCCAAATTTCTCTGCTGCAGATAGTAGGCCAGCTTTCTCTGCTTTGGTTAGGAGTCGCAGCTGCTCCACACGTGTTAATAGCTTCACTGGTGGCGTTGATGTTGAAGAGCTGACACGAGGGCCGGGCTCGCCAAGAGGGAAAACGGTTGTACTCTGCATTGAAACGAGCTTCTTCCTTTCAGCATGAGAAGCTATAACAGGAAACAACCAAATGGGAACAGCAAATTTTTTCCTTTTGTATTTGAAGAAACCGTTCGCCAAATATTATCGATAATTGACGTGTTAGATTTAGCAGACTTCTAACTAGAAATAAGATCGGTTAAATACAGGAATACAAACTACACAGCAAATTCAAATAAATGCTTAATTGAAACATCCATTTACTATATCCACAAGAATTTCAAGCACGAATGCATGAACTTGTGAGTTGTGACTAAAAATAAAATTACATACTTTCAGAAACTTGAAATTCATGGCAAATCAATTCGAGTTACAAAAAGCCACTGCTAATTTCAATATTAAGGTCCAATTCCTTGATTAATAAAAATGTATGACAATAGAACCATAATATCCAATATAGAGTATGCATGATGTGTGTAGCAATGTAGAGTGAAAGATCGGCAAAAAGTTTCACGATTCAGAACTTGATGTACAGTACCTCTAAGGTGTCACAATAGGCACACTACAATTAAATATTAAGTTTTGGACTTCTGCGAAGCATTCATCACCCTTACTCATATTCAAAATTGTCAAACTTTTGAATTTGTAAGGTAACACGGTTTAACAGTTTTCACGGCTGTAGGATAGAATCACCATCAGTTTGGCAATGGATGTTAATAATGTTATTGAGGGAAAAACCTCATCTATTTATTGTTATTTATGTTGATACAAAAAGGCAATTAGGCAATTTTTTTAAAAGAAACTTCCCCATAAGTTGAAATGAAAAGAAAGAAAAAGCCTTCGTTTCAAAATTATCAACCAACCTGTTTTTGATATCCTCCTTAAAAATGGCAACTCAACGCCTACTAATCTAACTCGACCCTCTCTATTCATCTGAGTCAAGTTGATGCAAGCTCACAAATACTATAGTATATGTCATACCGTCATCCTGTACTCAACTTTTTCTTCCTTTCTACCTTTGGTCCTTCTCTATCTTCATACACATAAAAATACGCATAAATCAACCTCTATAAAATCATTTCTTTAATGGATATGCTCCGCTCCTCTCCACTCCATTCACCTCAAAAATTGTCTGGATTATTGTTTGATCAAGGAAAAAGCTGGAAATCTATAAAATGTTGACTAACAAATGTCACTCTAGCTACTTTCATAATTCATATCGAGTTTGTAGTTCCATCTTAAAAGGTCAGTTTTGTCACGAGCCCACCAAGCCTTGTATGTTGATTATAGATTTCATATCTATGTTTTGATCTTAACAATTTCTAGAAAATTTCCTCATTATTAAAGCTAATTTACGTCGCCAATTTACGAAGAAATTCAGGCTAAGTCTCTGCAGCAGAAACATCTTTCAATTTATTTCTTTGCCTTTCAAAACATGTATCTTGATGGCATAAACTACAGTTGAATGAACTTCAATAGCACGACACTGCTTAAATCCCCCTAGACTTTACGACGTCGCATTGTCTCTTCTGCGACGTCGTATTACTCTTCTTCCTCCGCTCCAACACAAAACCCAGAAAACACACACAATTACATACACGCATTCGATATATACAGACAAATTTACAAAATGCAAGCAGTAAAATGATTATTAGGATTGTAATAATGAAGTGACCTTCTTTGAGCCAACAGTTTTGGTAGCTGAAGGAATTGGCTTCTGCTGTGACGCCATTGATCGAATCAAAAGTGGAGAATAAGATGCAGAAGAGAATGTCAATGCATTTGCCATGCTCACTATCATTATCGTCACTTCACTCAAATCACACAGGAATTTTGAGCCAACACACAGTAGTATGAATAATGAGTGGACGAAAGAATCGCTCATTCAATTTCAATTTCATCTTCTGTCGTCCACGGGTTAAATGCATTGTGGGTCACTCGATTTTGAGCAGAATTTCATTGAGGTCAACATTTTCAATTTAGTGCAATTAAGTCCCACAATTTTCATTTCCTTGCAAATTGATCGCTTGTATTCAATTAGTATGGGTTTTGGTTCCCATCTTCCAAAGGTGATTTATAAAATAACTAAAAGTTCAAGGATATCCACACTAACAATTTTCTTCATACAAGGATATAGATTCATAGAATTTAGTGGGTGAGAATTCAGAACCATGATTTTTAAGGTTGTTGACTCCTAATTGCACCACGTAAAATGTTGAGAATGTTACTTGTAGTTTTCAACTAAAAGGTTTTAGTAAACTAAGCGGAGGTTTAAATGCAGAGATACTCCCATTGTAGAGTATCCCAACATTAGTATAAGCCTATGTTTAATGGGGATTAAAATTAGATTTTGATAAAAATTGAAGATATGTATGATTAAAAAATTCTAAATCTCCTAAAATGTATGGTTTAAATTAGTTGTTGACTTTGATTTAATTAAAATCTAAATTTTAATTTCTACCAAATAAGACTAAACATTTCAGAAGAAATGATGATCAAAATTAAAACATATTGAAGATTAAAACTTAGTTCAAATGGTAAAAGCTAAAATTTACTAGGTCATTGACCTCGATCTGAATCTCCTTCATGGAATAAAAGGCATATTGTGATTAGTAAAGTTCTTTGAATCTTTTTTATAAATCGATCAATAGGTAATTAAGTGGTGTGAACTTTAAATTTTTTTGAAATAATGTTTAATTTATCAATATTTGTGAATGCACATTAATTTACATGATTTTAATTATTTAACTTTTAGTAAAAACATCCAATATTATGGTGAAAGACATACAAAATTAAGTCAAACAGTGACGATGGTCACTACATCTCAACGTTGTTCTCTAAACTTTAAAATTTTTAGAATAATTGTTGTACTTTTGAAATTTCCTTTTATGTTGTTGTCTTTATAAAGTTTTTATCAAGAACTAGTGATCTTTAAAAACTTTTGAATGGCACTATACTCTTTAATTTCAAAGTTCTTTCTTGGTCATCAATTCAATTCAATTGGTAAACGTTCCCAAAATCGTTAATTTTCGGGCATGAGAAACAATTTTGAAAATAATGTGACTATTTGAAAAGTGTCTAAAGTTCAGTGCAATCAGATAATATTGAGATTTTAACTCTCTAAAACCCTAAACCCTTACGCACTCGAAAAACACAGAGTTCTTTGTATTTCTTCTCTATCCAGAAGAAAGGAAGGTTTACAATGGCGGATGCAGTGATATCAGTTGAAAAAATCAAAGCTTTTTATCATTCGCAGGTCCATGACCCAGATAAATGGGATCTCAACAAGGTAATTTTGTATTCTTCCCCTTTTCTGTTTCTGCTATCGCGTTTTCATTATTATCAATTTTTTTATTTTTTATTTTTTGTTGATTTGTTATTGTATTTGTTTAGAAATTGATTACGATATTTGTCAATGAAATTAGGGTTTTCAGACGTTCAATTATTGCTTCCACAGTTTGCTTTTAGTCCGAAACTTAGACCTGATTTACGGATTTTTTTTATTATTTTTTTTCCTGTGGCTTTGCTAGTTATTCATATATTCATTGAAGATTAAACTTCGTGGCCTATGGTAATATGTTAATTAAGTGTGTTGAATGGGTAATTTGGACAAGGAAAGGAACTTTAGCCCGATCCCTGCTTATGTTAATGGTTGGAAATTGGATGGATCATACTGCAAACCTAATTTTCCGTTTTCTTCCTTTAAGATATCAATTGAGTCTTGATGCTTTGCTACAGAAATTCATTTCCTTATTCATTTTTACCTTATAACTTCAACTGGACTTAAAAACGCTTCTATTGGGCATATATTTAATAGACAGAAGATAAAGAGAGAAAACTCTTGGTTTATATTTTGATCGAAGGGAATTGTTTGGAGCATTTTGACAGTTATATTTCATCTACATATGTTAGAGAAAATAATAAGATTTTTTAAAAAGTAAGCATTTGAAGGAGCAGATGGAGAGAGGGGATCTGAATGGTTATGCTTGGCAGTCGATTAGGAATTTGTTTCTTTTCTATTAGCGTTGCTCTTCTTGTTCTTCAGTGAAATGGGATATATATGAGGCGTGGAAAGGAAAATGCAGGATCTTGATTCATCTTGTAGTTGAATGAGTTTTTCACTTGTCAATTATTGCTCCCACTGTTTGGTTCTTACTCCCAAACTTAAAGACGCGTTTTCTCTTTGGAAGTACTTATTTATCGTTCATTTATTGAAGCTTAAACTTTATGGTGTATGGTGATGAATAATTAAGTGTTTTTAATGGGCTTTGTGTTAATCTGTGTCAGATTATTGGGAAATGAATTGTAAACCGAAGCCAGTTTATGTTAATGGTTAGAAATTGGTTGACTTGGGCCGCCAACCTAATTTTTCCTTTCTTTCTTGAAGGCATCAGTTGAATTCGATATGCTAATTTCTTTTATGGTCTGAAATTTTCTACTTGTTCTCTGTTCATCCTTAACCCGGCTTTTTAAAGAGTGTTATCTTGAGACATAAGATCACTTAAATTGGGCATAAATTCAAGAGAGAATGATAAAGAGAGAGCAATCTCAGCATTCAATTTGATGGATGGAGTTGTCATGTATTTTGATCATTATGACCATGTTTGGGCTCGGTTAAAAACAGATAAAAACAAATTACGGTGAAAATGTATTTTAGAATAATGATTTTTTAGAGAATGTATGATTAAAAAATACAATCAAGCTACTTATACAGAATTTTTTTACACATTACTTGACAGAAGAACACATGACATAAAGTTGTTGGTTCTTTTAAAAATAAAACAATTTTTGAACAGTTTTTTCCACCAATCAAAATCGACCAAGAAAGATCTGTCAAAGGGGGTGGTTGTATTTTTCTGTATAAATGGCATATTTCTAAAAAATAAGGAAAGGTTTTGGGTTTATGTGTAATATTATTTTATTGGACAATATGTAGTTGAATATAAGAGAGGGAAATGCTTTTTTGAAATAGTGGTGGCCAAACAAGGGCTATATTTCGTCTACATATGTGTGCCATTTAAATAGTAAGATAAATTACCATTTGAAAGGGGGATGGGGAAGGGGTGCCAATAGTGCTATTATGCTTGGTAGTTGGCGTGGCTCTATTAGCATAGTCTTTAGCTATTCTTGTTCTTCAATGAAATGGCATCAATATTGCGCGTAGAAAGCAATGGGCAGACAATACTTCATCTTGTAGTTGTATGAGCTTTATGCAATAACTATTTCTCTTTTCTTTATTTCTTCCCCAGTTTTGATTCACCTTTTATTTACATCTTGAGAATATAATATATCGTGTCTTCGTCAATGACAAATTTGTCTGACAATTAACTTTTTTTTTGCAAGTGACCTAATTCATATAGTTCTATTTTTTTCTACCAATAGCATAAGGTATAAAAATTTGTAGAATAGCTCATTTCCCATATCTATTCCATATGATCAAGAGCATGTGTTGATCTGCTTGTTGGTTTCAGATTATCTTTTCTTTTCTTTTCATTTTTTTAAAGCTGTATACATAATGCAATTTTCGCTTGCTTAATACCCATTCTCCGCCCATTTTTTGTGCAGAAATTACTCCGTGCAGTAGGCCTCTTTGCTGGCTCCATTGTCTTAATGCGCCAATATGGTGTTCTAATGGCCATATAACTATGGATCAAGATTGTGTTCCTACAAGTCGAGCTTCTAGTTATTTTTTTTTTCTGCACATTATTTTTCAATATGACATAGACTGTCAACTGAAGGTCAATTGAATGAGGTTTCCATGGGTAAAATTAGAATCTTTATAATAACTTTCTTGATATGTTGGCTAAGTTGGATTGGACAAATATTAGACATTATTAAAGATGGGGAAGAAAAAGAAGGTCAAAATTTTTGTTCATTTATTCCTGTTAGTTGTATGGACCGAACATCTAGTCAAGAGTTCCATTACAGGGAAATGAAAAAATGTTATCTTGTTTATAATACTTAATTCACTTGTTATTTGCAAATTGCCTAAAAAGAATTGTTCTGTTTTTAGTTGTTTGATGTGATAACAGCAATGTAGCGCTCAGCACTATCGGATTAGTTGCTCTTATGCAGAGTGATGAATCCCAAATGAAAGAATCCGCCTGAACCATTTGAATACCAAATTCTTCGTGACAAAATGTTATGCAGTGAAATCTTTTAATTTATGTTGTTTTTGCAAAATTCTCTGCTTTTTGAACATTGTGGACTGATTATGCGGGACATTACTTATTGCCATCCTTAGAGCCTATCACATCATCCTCAACATCAGCCTAGTGTTCGAAGACAAATTTGCTTTGTTCAGTTTGTCTCGTGTCTCTCACCAACAATTGGAAAGGTGGAAGTTAGCGAAGACAAACAATGTGAACAGAGTTCGTTTTGAAAGATCACTTATTGACTTATGTTTGATGAAGTTTAAATTATAATTTAAATTGGTCAAATATGCTTTTTATTTACACATTTTATAGATTCATAATTTATTATCTGTTTTTATCCAAATATTTTGTGACATTGTCAGTTAAATTCTAATTTGAAGTGCTTCCAAACTAGCTCTTTAACAATGTTTTGTTATCTTTTTAACATAGTAAGACTCGAATGTTTCTTTTCCTACCTACTTTTTCCCTTTTTATCTATCATGATTTCTAATTTTCTCATCTATCCATTCACTTCTTTTTATTTCTTAACATTAACATCTAAATTTACTTCACTAAATATTAATATACAACAGTTACGAGCTTGTAAATTGATATTATAATATAGAGAAGTGGGAACAATATGGTAAATAGTAATTAAAGATAACAAAAATCCTTTTTGTACATCTCTTTTTTTCACAACATTTTTCACACTCCTTTCACAAATAATCGTGGATTCCACCCACTTGCATATATGTGTGCTGTGAAAAAAAAGTGTACAAATAGAATGATCCTAAAGATAAAGCGTGCTCATAAAGATATTTGAACTTTTTGAATCATGAACAAGCTTGCAAAGCTTAAGCTCTACTCACGAGGCTCGAACTCAATTTTACAGAAGAGCGAGGCTTGACGTCTATGGCCCTGGACAAGGACTTTCCCTTTTACGAAACTCAGTCATGGGCACAAACTTCACGAAATGAACCCACAAGCTCCCGAGTTTACATCTAAGTTTACATCACTAAATATTAATATACAACAATTACAAGCTTGTAAATTTATATTATAATATAGAGAAGTGGGGACAACATTGTAAATAGTGATTAAAGATAAAGTATGCTCATAAAGATATTTGAACTTTTGAATCATGAACAAGCTCGCAAAGCTTAAGCTCTTTTCATGATGCTCGAACTCGATTTTTACGTAAGAGAGAGGCTTGACGTCCAGGCGCCACATGGACCCTGAACAAGGGGCTTTCCCTTTTACAGAACTCAGTCATGGACATGAACTTCACGAGATGAACCCACAAGCTCCCAAGTCTTTCAAGTCAACTATCATCCCCATTTAAACCAGAGCCCACAAGGTCCCGAGTCTCCCAAGTCCACTGCCATCTCTATCTGCACCAATGAAGTCAACGGCAGGCTGCTAGACCCTAAAAGGTCAAAGCTTTCATATTTACCCGCTAGTCTCCCGTGCCAAATTAGTCATTTCGAGAGCATATTCTAAAATCACAGCTCTTGTCCCCTTGCATTCGTCAAAGAAAATCACCACCCTCCATCGATCACACTTTCTATAAATCTACGGTTATGATTAATCAGTCATTCATGATTAGGTTATCAAATTTAGGAATATGCCAAGAATTATGTGTAAAAGTTAAGACAAGGAATCATCTGCAAGTATTATATATAGAAGAAATCTGATCGATCATAATGATATGCTTCAAGAAAATTAAAGAGCAATCCAAGAGGAAAGGAAAGCCAATAAAGGAGGAGCAGCACCAATGGCTTCTCCTTCTCGGTGTAAGTGTCAAAACCCGATTCTTTTTAAGTAATCATTCTTGTGGATATGGATTTGTATTCGTGTTTTGTCTAAATGTGGAGAATCCGTACATTTCTTGGCATTGACCTGATTTTTTGGGTTTTCTGCTTGGCAAGTGGGTTTGTTACAACCGTTGTCTTCCCCTCAGGTGCTATTCCATTCCATGCATCTTTTGCATACGTGTGGTCCACTGGGTTCAGCCCAGCATGGATTTAATTCATACCCCAGCGATTTAAACCCAAAACCTTCCCTTAAGAGGAACTCTAGTTGAATGCTGATACCAATTGAGCATCCCATTGTTCTGTAATCAATTTCAATCTAGTCACCAAAAGAGTATAATAATTCAGATGGAATTTGGCTTAAAGTTCAGTGTGAATTGTACCCTGTTTTAAATGTTGGCAGGCAAGTGCTGTTTGAATTTATTGCTTCTGAGATCTAATATATCCCATAAAATTAAAAGAGAATGTCGCATCAGTGAGAATTAAACCAAAACAATCAGGTATTTTATTGAACGAGTAAAGGATAGTGGCCAGTAAGTATTTACTAGCGGTTATTTTTTCGGTATACTTTGCGAATGGCTATTAATTTGGATGTTTGATTCTTGAAATGGTTGTTGTCCAAAAGGGACAAATCATAGAGAATAAGTGAATAAAAGGAAAAAGAAGACGTTCTGTTATGTAACTGAAGTGAATTGAAACATTACTGATTGAAAACAGGAAATGCGTTTGACAGAGCTTTACAAAAAATTTGATTTCTTCGTTATGTTGCTCTCTTTCTTTCCTATGCTACTTACGTATCATCAGAAGTTAGTGGCCTTGATTACAATGATGCATGTGTGTGAATGCAAACTTATATGCTGCACAATGTAATGATAGTGCTTTAAAGAGGGAGAAGAGTCTATATATGGTTTGTACAAACATAACAATGAATAGAAGTTTGAAAGATACAGTATAAAACAAAGAAAAGACACCTAGAAGATCAAAAAAATTCTTGACATGGGAACAATTTTTAAATGAATGGGTAGGTACTAGGTTGTGCTGAGACTTGAACTTGGGATCTTTATCTACTTTAATACCATGTTGAACCACCTCGTTTAAAAGATTCATCTGTTAGAGAGTGGACAAACTTATTTATTTAAACTCTGTCTTCAATATGGTACTAAAATTTTTCATCTATTAACGCACTTTGCAGGTGTTTTCCCTTTCATCTTTATGCTATTTCTTGTTGGATGCTCTTCAAGATCTCTTTACCCACTCCCTAACAGGAGACACAATGGAAATCGACAGCCCCTGCAAACTTTTCGCCCATATAACATTGCGCATAGAGGATCAAATGGTGAAATTCCAGAAGAAACTACGGCTGCATACAAGGTATTTATATATGTTGATGGTGATCTGCATATCTAAGTGTTTACAAGAAAATATATCTTGTGAAATTTCCTGCTCATTTTAAGTAATCAGTTGGAATCAGTTGGATTTGCTTGCACCTTTAAGAATTATTATTTCATGAAACAAGCGAAACATTCTGGTTTATGCACATTTAAGAAGTGAATTTGACTAATAAATTTATAATTTTTTATTGAAATAAAAAAATTTTAGTGTTCAAACTTTTGATGGTAAACCATGAACTATAGTTTTCCCTACATGACACATTAATTTGCAGAGAGCCATTGAAGAAGGAACTGATTTCATAGAAACAGATATTTTGGCCTCCAAAGATGGTGTTCTTATATCCTTCCACGATGTATATCTCGATGATACGACTGATATAGCTGAACACGAGGAGTTCATCAACCGTAAGCGGACCTATGAAGTTCAAGGGTCCAATTTTACTGGCTACTTCGTAGGTACAGTGGCAATTGGCAAACTTGTATTATTAATTGCAGTATTTACTTACAGTGTTTTCTTCAAATTTAAACCGTCCAACTTTAAGTTGTTATGTGACGATACTTCGATATGTATATCTTTTTTCTTCCTAATTATTATTTTCTGGTTATGCATTCAAAGTTATTTGAAATAATATGCGTTTCCTCTAAATTGACCATATATTGCATGATCACTTTTTGGTTATGACATCCAGTTGATTTCACACTAAAAGAGCTAAAGTCGTTGCGAGTGAAGCAGAGATATCCTTTCCGAGATCAGCAGTATAATGGTCAGTCCCTGCCTCTTACCATTAAATTTACCTACAGAGATAACTCTTCTATACTGTGATCCTTAAACATAGTTCATAAACATAAGATCAACTACATTTAAGCTTTGAACAATGTAAATTTTCATATTTTGCAACAGATGAACCCAAGGTTCTTAAACCTTCCATCTAACTAATTATGAATATATTCATCAAGTCAATCTAAGGTGGGTAATTCACTTTCACAGTACACCAGAATTGCAGGAAGAGAACTTCTTGGGTTTCCTGATATACGTTTTAATGAAGGGAACTTTTAATGAAGTCAAAACAAGCTTTTAATGTTGAAAAATGTTTAAGTAACCAATTCAATGTCCAAGCAATTACGATATATAAAGTATTTTTGCTTAATATTCAAGATTACAGGCTTTCTCTGGAGCTTCTTTTCCAATCCCTGTAACTAGGTTCTATCCAACAGCATATTACTTCAGACATTGTTTGTACTATCCCCACAAGACAATCATTATCAGGCATACTTTTGTTAAAGTTGGGAGATATGTGCATTCCCTATTAAAAATTGTTATCGTTTTGATAATTATGCCGTCCGCTCTTGCATTGCATTCAACTGAGGTGAGTTTGGTTGTGAACTTCTGCTTACAAAAACAAAAATATCCTTTTTATCTCTCTTTTGAAATACACTGTAAAGATTAACAAAATCGATCTTTAGTATTCTTGTCAGCAGACCCCCAAGTAAATGTGTATTAGATTGGTGATGCAAAAAAAAAAATGGTGTTGTGTTTGATGAAAATATTAATCAATTTTAATGGAAATTTTTACGTCATTCTATGCAGGAAAGTTTTCTATTATTACATTTGAAGAGTTCATTTCAATTGCGCTGGACGCCGACCGAATTGTTGGAATATATCCCGAGATGAAAAATCCAGTATTCATCAATCAAAGAGTGAGTTTCATAGTTTGTCTCAGTTATAATCATTTTATAGCTTCTAACATATTTTTTACTTTCCATGTTTTCAATAGGTAAAATGGCCAGACGGTAAGAAATTTGAGGACAAGTTTGTGGAAATACTCAAGAAGTACAGATACAGAGGTTCTTATATGTCTAAGGAATGGTTGAAACAACCTGCTTTTATTCAGTCATTTGCTCCTACTTCTCTTCTTTACATATCAAACCAGACCGATCTGCCAAAAATACTTCTAATTGATGATGTCAATATGCCGACTCAGGACACAAATCAGGTTTCTTGTTTTCTCTTTAACTTTCGTTCATGCCAATTCTATATAAAATTATTCTTAAAATATGTAATCCATATTGAGGTGATTATTCTTTCTCCTTTGATTGGTAGCTTATGTGGAACTTGGAAACAATTTCATAGAGTGTTTGCATGTCTAATTTAGAAAATGGGAATTTTACTAAGAGCATCTACGATCGTCGTGTAAATTGGTATCTCCAAAAGCAGTTTTGCATCCTCATTTAGATCTTGGTGGATCTAAATTCGAATTTTGCTTCAATGGGAAGATGTAAATCCACTTTTTGCCTCTTGTGAATTTACATTTTCTACCAAAAAATGCAATTTGCATTTTCTTTGCAGCTTTCCATTGGAGAGGTTTCAGGTCATTTTGAAGATCTAAATCATAATTTAGATATATTTTACACCACGATTGAAGATGCTCTAATAACCTTTGTTCGACTTGTGAAGCTTAATATGTCATACACTTTTCCCCTCGTATATGCATTAGATCGCCTTAATATTTTCCACCTATATGAAAGGTATTAGGACGAGCCTCATTTTCTTTTGCAGAAAGGTGCGAGTCTAAAATATTCTACTTGTCGTAGTAGAGAGAAAATAGATAGGCATGAGTCTAAAACAGTATATATCTTCGATATAGTGCAATTCTGGAATGGCATCGACTCTAACATTGAGAGTGAACCACTTTGAATCGTCTGTGTTTTCTTGCTTCAGTTTTCTACTTCGTACTATTAATTGTCACTGTACTATATATTATTCTTTTAATCAATGACAACCCTATATGTTATATTCTAGTTAAAGTCGTAAAAAATTGTGGGTGTTTGGACAAATATGACCTTGAACTTTGAGAAAACTTTCAACCTTGGTATTGGTATATTTCTTCTTCAAACGTTTCGGGGAATGATATGCTGGACTTAAAATTCTCTCTTATTGTCCTATTGGTTTTTTGGAGATGTAAAATTCTGTAAAATTGTCGTTTGTATTGTTCAAGTTACTGTGCAAAATTTCTTTACATCTTACTGGGATTTGTTTGTGTGACTTGTCCTTAGAGAGTTTTGATTTATTTCACCCCTGTTTGACGAGCATAATTTCAAAACTCATTATTTTACATACTCATTTTCAACCACACATTCACGTAATAAAACATTCTACATGTAAATTCAAAACTTTATCATACTTTTTATTTATACATTCTCCAAAAATTCACAATTCAAGATTTTGTTTTTGCCAAATAATGGCCATCAAACAGGGGGCTTCGTTTGTTATTCTAATGCTAAGAAAACATTATGACTACTTGTGTCTCAGTCATATTGGGAAATCACTTCAGACAAATATCTTGATTTTATCAAAGAATATATCGTGGGGATTGGACCGTGGAAGGATACATTGGTTACCGCATCTGACAATTATCTGCGAAAACCTACTGATCTTGTTGCCAGAGCACATGCCCGTAATCTTCAGGTGTCTTTTTCTTCTCAAAGTTAATTTATAGCCGATTCTGTTTGGATATTATTATTGTACGTGCCAAATTTGAAATTATTTGGATTCTGCATTGCACGCATAGAAATGGCTCATCTTTTGGTCTACATTTGCTGATGTATTAACATCATTTGCACCGTTCAAGATCTTTTTATAGTAATCTCTTTAGTGTCAACCGTGGTGGCAAGATGGAGAGGCGAATTTATACTACTTGCTATGATCCTCAATTGTGATGGCAATGGATGTAAAATAGAAAAGACCATTATCCAGAGGACATTTCATTAGGGGCATTATTGATACAAAGTAATGAACTGAACAATGCATATTAACTTTGTTTTCCTTTTTATTACCAGCCAAGATTGTCCCATCTCACTAACAAACATGCACAAGTTTTCTCGTTCTTTCATATTAAAGTTTTCAAAGTAAGCTCATTCTCAGGGACAGACAATTTCAAAATTACTAACGGACTATGCTTGGAGCTGGTTCTTCACTTAGTGCTTGTTTGGTAGTGCTTTCTAAGTGTCCATAAGATGTGGGTCCTACAGAGCGTGTGGATTATTAAGTGGGTAGTAAGTTGCCAGTCCTACGAAATGTGTTACAGCTGCGATACTTCACCTAATCTTCTGTCAATTCATTCATTTTGACCTTAATGAATCAGCAAAATCATTAACTCCTCGTGATTTTTCTTCTTATCCAGGTGCATCCGTACACTTTCCGCAACGAGAACCAGTTCTTACACTTCAACTTCAGTCAAGATCCATACAAAGAATTCGATTACTGGATAAACGAGATTGGGGTCGATGGACTGTTTACAGACTTCACTGGCAGCCTCCACCAATTTCAAGAATGGACCTCTCCATTATCAACTGGAGAGAGAGATGCAAATAAGCTGCTAGATAAGATTGTCTTTATGATATCAAAGTTCAAAACAAAATAGTGTAACGACTTCACAATATGGAAAAATAAAGTTGTGATTTCATGTACCAAATTTGTTGTTTATGGTCTGGAAATGTGTATTTGTTTGTCGAATTTGCATCTAATAATGCCAAAAGAAAAATATATATATAAAACCTTGTTTTCTCGAACATTTGTTCTGGGAATATTTCTGGAATCCTAGAATGTATTGCACTTGATATGACAATTGAATGAATTTTGTTAATATGACACTTAATATAGTCAAGTCCATTAAGCTCATGCGCATGAGATGTAGGCCATCAAGAGCTAGTGGTGCATTGAAGGCGCACGAGCACTTTGCACACTAATTTGCGCAATTAACTTATTTGAGATTGAACTATCTAGATTGAATGTAATTAATTATGAGCTGTTGTTTTTATTCGGATGTCTACATTTAAATTATAGATGCAACCTAAATTTTTATGTATAGAATCGACACCATTAGGAGTTACTCAAGCTATTAAAAATGTAGCCAGCAGGCCCTCAACGTATTATTTTAACTAGGGCCTAGGTTATCGATCTTGGTATGGTGGATTTCTAGCTATTGATAAAAAAAAAATAATGGTACACTGGTCTTGCAATTGAGCTCTTTCAATAGGAATTAAGCCAATATCTCTATCGATAGTGATGAATACTTAAATTGATCCGATTCTGTGCTATACACGAGATTCCATTTCAATCCTCACTAATGCTTGCTTGCTTGTCTCTATATAAACCAAGACCGTGGATAGTGGCAGGGCAGGGCAAGAAACAAGCATATATAGGGAAAAGGCTGAGATTAGGGTCGGACCAATGCGAATGGACTTATAATCGAAAAAACCTAAACTGTGCAATTTGGATTGATCGATTATGTTGGTTCCATGGTCTAAATGTCCACGTCTAACGAAGATTCTCATAACATTCTATTGGGGACCTAGTTGCCACATATTAAATAGTTTGAGGACTCTATCCATAATTTTCCCAAAAGTTGTCCTCAGTGTTCCTTCAAAGTTATAATGGAAAGAGAACGAAATCAACGTGAAATTATCAATTCCTACACCCCTCTGTTATGAAACCCAAAGGGTCGGGGCACAATAAATGGGTTGTTGGGCATATGAGCTGCAGATTATCCTTATATTTTGTGAGTTATATTATTTGAATTAGTCAAGAGTCTGCTATTAAATCATAGGCTATGTTGGCTGAGCAGTTGTTGAGTCATGGGTTCAATTATGTCATTGTGGGAAAGTCAGTATCTGTATCTATTTATTCAATTTTTGCAATTTCAACAATTACGTGTGTAACCGAGCTCCACGTACAAGAGCTCGATTCATAGGGGCTCATAGGCCCCTCAATGTTTGGGGTCGAGCCCCACACGTATTTTTTAAAAATTGTGGGGCCCGCCCCCACCTCTTCTCACTTGTTCAGGGGCCTGTGAAACAGGCCTTTGTTTACCATCATGAGATACTTCATTTAGAGAAACACATTTATTTACTTAAACATAGTCTTCTACAATAGCCTAGAAAAGAGCCTGTGAAATTCATTATTGGATTCATATGGGTGTCTTGAAATAATAAGGCAATAGCATATTTAAAATGTCTAAATTGCATTAATTTGTTTTGTTATGGAATTTAAAATGGCTCATAACTTATTATGAGCATATTCTTGTATATTTCTATTTCTTTGAATTATTTCACAGATTTGTCATGTGGCTTACTCTTTGCTTTATTGAGACTATTTAAACATTGTTTGGACATGTAACATTTTAGCAATGTACGTCCTCGTTGCAGCTTGACCAAAATCCCAAATCAGATTGTCACGTGTTGAGATTCTAGATATAGCTCCCATTATATGAGTAGAGTATGCTCTGAGCCGTATCTTGTTATCTTTTCAGGACTTATCTAACTGCTAATATGTCTTCTCAAATTTTATGCTGGTATTTAACCATTGGAATTATAAACTACAAGATCAATGATCATTGGATTTATGTACTCAAATCACGAAGAACGCTTTCAATATGTTGAGCTGTGATTGCATGTGTGTACCATTTGTCAAGACCATTATATCGTATTAGCTTCTTACTTTGTGTTAAATTTCACGATAACATTGTAGATTTTCGTTGTACAAACATTCACCAGTTTGAAACTTGTATACATTCATGAATTTATCTTTGGCAATATGTAGTGCTAAATGGTTTAAATCCAGAGAGCATAAGATAGGCAGAGAAATGTGCAGAAATATTGATGTGCACGTATTGGTTGTTGAATATTTGTTCGAAATGAATGGAATGATAATGGACTAATTGTTGGACTCAATTGTAGAATTGGTAGAATCAAAAGAAATTGAAAAATGAAAATTTTGATTTTTGCCTATGCGTACGCGCAGGCTTATTTTTGTGCGTACGTGAGATATGCTTTTTCAAAATCAGAATTGATTTTGCTTCTACTATGCGTATGCACGATTTATACTATACGTACGCATAGTGTTAAAAAAATAGCCGTTGGCTGATTTTTCAATTTGAAACTTGGGAGCCGTTTTGGACTAAAAGTTGCCACTTTTCATCTTGTTTTGGCACCATTTCGTGATGTATTGATTGATGCCTATAAATAGGTGATGAATGATCAATACAAACATTATTACAAACAAGAAATACATACATTGTTCTACAATTAATCAAATTCATGATATAACCCATATTCATTTCTTCTTTGTTGTTTTCATTAAGTTTTGGTGGAAAATTTCTCGTGCTTTGTTATTTTCTGCATCAAGGCTTGTTAAAATCTTTCAAATCATTTGCCATAATACCCTTAAACATTTGGAGAGGGGGCAAATATAGTTTGAGGACAACGATCCCGTGTTCAAGTCTCAAATTCATTCTTGACGTATTTCGTGATTTATATTCATTTTATTTCCATAATTTTGTTGTTGTTTATTCCCCAACCCCTTATTTTCCAACAATTTCAAACTATATTTTGCGATGGAGAATGATACAACTATGGAACCATCAAACTCATGAATTAAGATCTTGTTAGATTAGATCGTTTTGACGGGACTAACTTCACGTGGTGGCAAGACAAATTGAAATTCCACCTAACGGCGTTGAAGATCTTTTATATTCTTGAGCCAAATTTAGCGCCTTTGCCGGAACCAACAAATGGAGAATCTAAAGCAATCAAAATCGAGAGACAAAAACAGCAAGAAGATGAATTGATTTGTCGTGGCCACATCTTGAATGCATTGTCGGATCGTTTGTATGATTTATACACCAATACAATTTTGACAAAAGAAATTTGGGAAGCATTGGAAAGTAAGTACAAGGCGGAAGAAGAAGGTACAAAGAAATTTTTGATTTCTAAGTATTTTGATTTTAAGTTCTTAGAAAATATCTCTCTTCTTCCCCAAGTGCATGAGTTGCAAGTGATTGTCAACAAATTAAAGACGGTAAAGATTGATATACCGAAGACCTTTCAAGTGGGGGCTATAATTGCCAAACTTCCCGGAATTTGGAAAGGATACTGGAAGAAGATCATGCATAGTTTCGAAAATTATTCTTTGGAACAATTGTAAAAGCATCTTCGAATCGAAGAGGAGTTGAGAATACGTGATAAAATTGAAAATTCTCATAAGGGTTCTTCTAAAGCAAATGCTGTGGAAAAAATAGAACCGTCGGCAAAATCCAACAAAAGGAAGCCTTCTAGGAACTTTAACAAGTCCAAGAAAAAAACAAAAGGAGGTTACTTTGTGTGTAGAAAATCTGGTCACTATGCCAAGGATTGTAGGCACCGAAAACAAAACAACTTCGAGACCAAAGTGAATTCCATCCAAGATGACAAAAGTGTGGCCACCATAAGTGAAGTAAACGCAATCAAATGAAATATTCTCAGGTGGTGGTATGATTCTTTTGCTACGGTACATGTATCATATGATAAATCTTTATTCAAAACTTATCAAGAAGTGGATGGACAACAAGAGATTCAAATGGGTAACGAGATGCGGTCTAAGGTGTTTGGAAAAGAAAGTGTAGACATTATCTTCACTTCTGGGAAAATCGTTACTCTAACTAATGTACTACATGTTACGGATATGAATAGGAACCTAGTTAGTAGCAATCTTTTGGGAAAATCGGGTGTCAAATGTATTTATGAGTCCGGCAAACTTGTACTATCCCTTAATGGAAAATTTGTTGGAAAATGTTATTCGTGTGAAGGAATTGTCAAATTATGTACCATCGACAATGAAATGAATAAAAGTAATTTTGCTTATGTTGTGAATTTATTTTCATTATGATATGCTAGATTAGGTCATATTGGTAGAAATACAATGAAACGCTTGAAAAAATATGACTTGATCTCATATGATGAAAATGATGAACATAAATGCAAAATATGTGTAGAATCTAAAATGATTAAAAAATCATATCAAAGTGTTAAGAGAACCTCTAGTATTTTAGAATTAATTCATACTGATATATGTGAACTTA